TAAGGGCATTACTACTAGTAGCTAGCAGCTACACTAGTAACAAGGGCGTTGCTACTAGTAAAAAGAAGCTACTAGTAGCTAAGGCTAAGGGCATTACTACTAGTAGCTAGAAGCTACTCGTAAAAGGGTAGCGTAGACACTTTCACGGTGAATGGCCACCACTCTTTCGGAGGTGAAACCCCACCTGTCAGCCCCTCGTCCTCCTTCTTCTCCTTCTCCTCCTCGTCCTCCTCCGCCGGACCTCAACCACGACCATCCGCGCCCAGCGTTCCCTGCCGGACCTCGACCACAGCACACAACCACAAACACACAACCACAAACACACAACCCCAAACACAACAACCACAAACACACACAACCACAGACACAACAACCACAAACTCATAACCACAATCACACAACTACAAACACACAACCACAAACACAACCACAAACACAGCAACAAACACACAACCGCAAGCACACAACCACAAATACAACCACAAACACACAACCACAAACACACAACCACAAACACAACCACTAACACACAACCACTAACACACAACAACTAACACACAACCACAAACACAACCACAAACACACAACCACAAACACAACCACAAACACACAACCACAAACACATAACCACAAACACAACCACAAACACAATCACAAACACACAGCCACAAACACACAATCACAAACACAACCACAACACACAACCACAGCACACAACTCGAGCACCCACAAGCAAAATCGAGAACGACAATACTCACGACCATGGCAACATGCTCCTCACTATGGCATCAAGACAAATGATTGAAATGTCATAGGCGGGATCACTCGAAGTAAAGTATTTTGTAGGGAAATTTAACAGCTTCTTGCCGTCAACGAATCAACGGCAAAGCGCACGCAAAGCGCACCATGTCACGAGCAGGAACCTACCAGCCCTGGCCTCAAGTGTGCAAGGTGCTGCGATGTATCATGCGATATGAAGTTGAGCAGACCACAGTAGAACTCTCACATGGCCTGTTTTTCCGTGTTGTTTTGGAAGTTTATGTACACAATTGGCATTCTAGAGATCAGCGACATAGCGCCAGCACCCGCCCTCTCCACGTGTGATGCAGCTGATCGGAGTGAGTTTGTGTGGATCTGAGGAAACACCACATGGACCTTGAGCTGGGACAAGTTTCAGGGATCGTGGAACTTGCTGGGAGGCAAGCATCTCTACGTTCCTGAGCTGCAAGTCGGACCGATGGATGTTATATAAACATATGAGCCACGGTCAAAACATGCGAAGACCACTTTAGTAAAGAGGGGTAGGTTTGTGCACAAAACCCTGCAAAACGATAAGGTCCACCTCAAAACCGATAACCCCAGCGCTGTATATGGTCATAAGTATGCGACGAACTCAAAACGCTGTAAAACGATAAGGTCCACCTCAAAACCGATGACGTCCATTTTTTAGCTGAAGCAGAATAAGTAGTTTTGACCGTCCCTCATATGACCTGCGGTGGCGCTAGTCAGCTGTGTCTGAGGATGGGAGGTGCTTTCAAAATTATTGTAATTTGTACAAGACCGTTTCAGCCAAGTGTGTGATTTCGAGTTTTCCTTGGAAAACAGCCTGGGACTTCAAAAAAGCGGTACCCCTGTTGTTGCATGCATTATGTTTTTTGGAGTTTATTTTGTGCGCATGTGTGGGCAGGCAATCTCCATCATGTGGCTAATGTGAGAAAGTGTGATTGGGTTTTGTTGTTGTTTTGCTTTGTTTTTGTGTGTTTGCCTGTTTGTTTTGTTTGGCATTGCGCTCGCTTGCGTGTGGTTTGGTCTCGCAGGTGTCACGGGCAGTCAGCAGGGATTGGCTCATGGGCTGGCCCCAGCCTGCAAAGAAGGCTTTGCTCCACCAATGAAAAAGGTATTCGCCTTTGTTTGCTCGGGTGAAATGGAAAAGGCTTGTGTGGAGCGTTTAAACAGCATGTGTGCACGCAAGCAGATTGATGGAAAATTACTTCACTCCCAGCGAGCACCATGGTATTTCCAATATTTGCTTTAATGGCATGGCAGAGATTGTCCAGAATAATTCAAGCATGAAACAATTAAGCGTGGATCACACAAGCCAGTTCAAAGACTACTGCGTTTTTTTTCTGAAGAATATATCGTCGTCATGTGAGACGCATCCAAAGCTACTCGTACCTCTCCAGCTGTGTTCATCCCACCTGTCATCAGTTGCCAACTCAAACATGTCTAGTTGAGATTCAAGAGGCAGAAAAATGCCATTGCCCCACCTGTCAGGGCTTATGTTTGGACCGCGCATGAACAGCCGACCACCTGAATGAGATACCGAGATCTGCCAACATATCCGGTTGAAGCAAGTCTTGCACAAAGTGCGCTATAACAGAGGATGTAGGCATCACCCATCAACATCCCCTGAACGGCCCTGCTGAAAAGCAGTTGGGCCCGACAAGATGTTTGAGTCTAGGTCATCAACATCTTCTGAACTGCCCTGCTGCGAAACGGTCGGGTCCGCAACTCCGATTGGCATAACTTCCAGGACAGGTCAGTTCTTCAAAAATCAGCATCGATTCCGGCCACACACCACTGGACCCAAGTCTCCCAACAAGACGCGGATTCTGCGTGGCACAGTTCTTCAGCGCGCAGCTACGGAGGCTAACAAACGCAGCTGCCAGGCTTGGTGTGAAAGAAGGCCATACCCAAGACACCATTAGCGCCGCCTCCGCAGCCAGCGGATCTTGTATGACTAAAACCAGGCGCGAGACTTTCTATATGCTTCTATATATATATATATGTTCTTCTGGTTCTTTGTCCAACACACAAAACGCTTCTTGGATTGTGCATCAACATTGCTCCACTCGCTGCGCGAGCTTCGCATCTTCATCGAATCTCCGTGCAACACAGATCATCCTATCGCGACACCAATCCTACAGCGGTAACGTCATCCTGCATGCTATAGGCTATAGCTGTCTCGGATAAGCTTTCACAGCGAGTACAAAGAAGATACTCTAGGAAGGGCCTGTGCACCTGTGACCAGCGTAGATAAAGCTATTGGGAACAGTTACAAGGAAATAAGGATGACCCTAGAAAAAAAAGCTGCGGACATCCGCAGAATGCTGCTGCATGTCTGGAGCAGGGGCAAATGTCACATCATCCAACACTTGCATATGACGATCAAGCCATGTTTTCCAGCACACCAACCAGTTCAGACAAATGTTCAGTTCTCTGGCCCGGCAAGAAGAGGAGAAGAGGAGAGGGGGAGGTCAGCTCTGATAAAATCTAACAACCCTCACCTGGCAGTTGGGGAACCATGGACAAAAAGTCAGATACATAGAACGACGCTGCAGAAGCCATCAATGTTGCGTTTTCTGTAGGAACTGCCTGCAAGCAGTGTTGTTGTCCTGCCTGACTTGAAAAATCCCGTCACACTTCCGGCCCGTCACGTCATGAAGGATCAAGAATGGGGGTTCCTGTGTCTCTTGTTTGCTTGTGTGCTTGCATGTTGTTTGTTTTGCTCAGTGGTTTGATGCTGGGGTTCATTGGTGGCAAGACTCGACACTGCAAAGAATGTAAAATATGTAGAGCAATACCTGCAGTGCTCATTCTGCCAAACACAGTGCAACGAAGGGGGGGCAGGGGCACGTGTTTTGCTCGGTTTCTTGAACACAACTGTGGCAAAGCGAGCCCAGGCATCAATTCACAGTGAGGCCGTGATACCGGTGGACTTGAACGGAAGCGCAGACGCCTTCTCGGCGACATTTATTCGCCCAATGATGGCCAGTTTTTTGACAAGCCCGAAGGTGAACAGCCCTTTCCCGCAGCAGAAACCAACCTACCCAAAGCTTTTGGAGTTCCATTCAAGTCAACCAGATTACAAGGAATATTGCGACCCTACGATTTTGCAAAACCCTGGTGAGTTTCAAGTTTCGGTGGATGAGACGAATCCATGTTTTCACACATTCAATGCCGAAATCGTCAGAGGGTTGCCTGAAATGAAAGGAATCACAGAGCAGGCCTTTTGGTCTTGTGCAGAGCGGGACTCTTTGCGTCAGTACATGGAAGGGATGTCCACAGCCGGGATCCAGAAGAGCCAATACAAAGTGCAGAAAGTGGAGGATGAGATGCAAGCGGTGTCATTGGCCTTGCAGCTTGTGGCAGGTGTTGCTGGCATGATTCCTTGGGGCAGCTATGCAGCCCCTGGGGAGAAGGGTGCAGAGAAGACTGAACAGTTTGTTGCCAAGGAAGAAAAAGACATTGCTGAAAAGACGGCCAAGACTGAAGTGAAAAAAGAAGTTGAAAATGAAGTAAAAGTTGGAATGACAAAGCAGATGCACGAGGAAATGGAGGCGCAATTGAAACAAAGTATGAGGGCTGCCATGATCAAAAAGGATTTGCAAGCTGCGAAAGCAGCACAAGCAGCAGCCCAGCGGCAAAAACGATCCAGTGGTATGATGGCCATGATCGGTGGCGCTTACCAGAAATATGGCAACAATTTCAATTCCTTTGTGAGCACCTTCAGTACCTCAGTCTCAACGGCGGACTTAATTTTCAAAATGCACCCGAGGCCTTCCACCTCAGCCGGTGCCAAAAACATGTCTGAGAAGCTGATGAAGCTAACCCTTCCCACCTTGGACGGCCCAACTTACAAAGACACCTCTGCAATGGCGAAAACCACTTGGAATGATTGTATGCCGTTGCAGTTCGGTTTGTCCAAGGTGATGTGCGACTTGTTTTGCATTGAGGATTCTGTTCGCGAAGGCACCTCGGCGGTCTTAAGTAGCCTGGAAAATTCGCAAGACGTCCTGATGAAGAACTTGCAAGCGCTTCTGAATTATCAAACGCAGTACATCCTTTGGGCCATCGGGACTCTTGGAGCCATCAAGAGCACTGTATTTTCGTTGGCGTTCGTTGGCACTTGTAGTGTCAATCATTTTAGATTGCTTTCAAATCTTTTGGCAAGCAGTTGTGGCAAACTTAGAACTTGAGAGCTTGCTGATTGCTTTATCAGCATAGGACTCTGGTCAATCCGGCTACTGGGTCCAGCTCTGAGCCCTCAGAGATACCTTCTGCCAGCGCTTTGCTCGAGGAGCTGCGCCGCATCGACTTTGAAGATGTGCGCGTCACCGTGCCAAGGGTATCCCGAGACTAGCCGTTGACTAGACTATTTAGGCTGTTTTTCGTGCGGTACCGGCAGTAGAACAGTAATGACTAGATACTTTTTTGTTTTTTGGACAACTTGGAAACCCTGCAAGCCCTGTTTGTACTGTAACCGTTCAATTCCTTGCTCTCAGGGGATGTCTTACACTGGCATAGAGATGCTGCGCCGGAGCTCTATGGACGTGTCGCGTCTTTGTCCGTGAATGCCACGGCCCAGAATTGGCCCTACCGTGTGCGATCTTTGCGGAGCATGCTGCAGCACTTTCAAGCAGAATTTCGTGAACGTCTCTACAGGAGCAAACATAGGAAAGGTCAACAGGTTGACAACAGGATGCAACAACCAGTTTTCCGAACAGATTGGGCCCCAGGGTTGTTGCGACTCTGGCATTCCTTTGGCTTGACAGGAGTGCACAAGGACAGCCATCGGTGGACAAGATCCAGCGGCTTCGCTTGGATGCAGCCATGCACCGAAAACATACAGAAAAAGCGCAATTGTTACAACTGCAGATGGGCGAATCCCGAATTTGGACTTCCCTCTTGGCCTCTTTCTTGCATTGCCACGAGAAGCACGCCACTTTCACAATGATGCAGCTAAAAGCATTGGATCAACACGATGCAGCTCCTCTCCTTCATCTCGATTCGACGTTGAACATCTCAATTGGGTCTTATATTGCCTATTGTCGCATCATCTCATGAATCATGTGTTTGTTAGTGTAACCTTGGTCATTCCCTTGGCATCAGTGACTTCCAGTGGAAGACAATGTATTTCCAATGCATTCTGAATCTCTGAAGGCAGATTGGAGGCCATTGGAGGCCATCTAGGTTGGAGGCCATCGCTACTAGGTTGGAGGCGAGGCCATTGCTATTAGGTTGGAAGTATATAATCATGTTGAAACTCTAACAAGTGCATTCTTTTCATCTCTGAAGGCTTTGAACTTGGCCCAGAACTTTTCGCTTTGCAAAGCGGACACGGCCTCCTTGCGAGACACCTGGCAGCGCGCCATGCGCGCAGAAGAGCGCAGCCGTGAAGCTCTCCTTGAGGCTTGGTCAGCCACGGCGGCCACTGCCGAGCGCTTGGCAATAGCCTTTGAGGAGAGAAACCAAACCAAAATGGGCTTCACATGGCTTCACTAGCTTAAAGCAACTTCAACTCAGTTTTCTCACAGTGTCATTTTTCATGCTTCAGTTTGCTTCGACTTCACCATCCTGCTTGCGAAGTGTCGAGGACGAAGACTTTGTGCTGAACCTGGCTGACTTCACCAACCATGGGAGCCACTTTACTCGCTTTGCCAGCTTCCCTCGTGAGTCTTGTCACAGCATGCCCAAGTTGGCGCAAGAACTCTTTAACGAAGCAGTGTTCCAGGTAGACCGGGTGATGAAGCCTTTGGCAAAGCAGCTTGTGGTCTTCAATGCTTTGGCCAAGTACCAACAGCAACAGCTCCTGCATAGACGCATGGAGCACGTTCCTTTGCCGACGTTCTCTTTGCCCAAAGGTGCGCTCGCTGCCATGGCTGATCCGGAGGCCCAAGGTCGCCAGTTGGCACTTCAAGCGTTGCAAGCCTTAGGCCGAGAGCTTTGCCCTTCACCGCCGAGTTGTCCACAGGGAATGCTTCTGCCTGAAGATGCAGACGCACAATTAAATGGGATGGATGAGGTCGACGTTTGCAATCGAGGCGGGCGCTCACGCTTCATTGGGGTCATGACATCCAGCTTAGCAGAGGTTTTGATGCGGAACGTCACATTGGAATCGGTAGAGATGCACAGTTTGTTGTTGCTCAAAGTAGCAGACCTTTAATATTGTAATCAATTTTGATGATGATGATATATAATGTGCCTTTTGGAATAAATAGAGGCATAAGTCCTCTATTTATTGTATTGAATCTGTTAAAATATTAATAAAAATTTTGGAAGAATTAACACATATTATAATAACTATTACATTTTTGTATAAATCTATTCATATATGAATATATAAATATATAAATTACAACCAAAATCATTTATAAGAATGAGGATTTATCGCATGATTATAATTAATGTATTTTATGGTAAAGCGGAACGATTTTGGAATATAATAATTATAGATTTATTAAGCCGGTTAATTTTAATTCTAATTTGGCTAAAATTATATATTTATTTTGGATGATTTTTAATCGATTAATTATTTAATTTTGGAATCATTTTTATACTATTCGACGAAGGATTTTAATAAATTGTTTAGAAATAGATTTGTATAGTTGTATTTTTTGTTTTTTATGTTTTCGTTAATTTCGCGAGAAGGGTATAAAATATATTTAGATGTATTCGGTAGGAAGATTTTTATTATAATTTAATATAATTAGCTTAAAGCGGTTATTAAAAAGAAAAATAAATATAAAAAATATATAAATTAATTTATTTTAATTAAATAAATTATAAATTGAAACTATATATATTATAAATATAATATTTATATAAATATTGGATTTATTAAATTATAATTAGAAATAATATATATTAAAATAACATATATTTATAATATAATAAATAAAATTATTTAAATATTTTTAGGTTAAATAAACTATAAATTATTTTTATATTTAATAGATATATTTAATATAAATATTAAAAATAAATCGATTTTTATATTTTTTTATGTTTTTTTTTTATATTAATTAATAGTAATATAACACGTAAAATAATAATAAAAATAATAATAACAAGAAGAAAAAAAAACTAATTTCAAATCGAATAATTATATTTATATTATGTAATATAATAATATTTTTTAATGTTCGCCAAAAAATTATTTTCGCGAATTCGAACAAAAAAAATCACAAATAACTTAAAAAAACCTCTTAATATTATAAGCTTAATATCGACCTTTCGATCGTCTATTACATCCATTTATTAATATTTAAATTATAATTATTATTTTTTGTATTTAAAATATATCAAAATATATATATAAAAAAATTAATTAATATATATTTTATATATATATATATCATTCAAATCCATCATAAATAAAAATATTTTATTATATTATTAATATATATAAACATAAAATACATAAATATATATCTATCAATATATATTTAAATTAATTAAATCAATCATTTTCCTTAGAATATATTTTTTTAAAATATATATATGGATAAATATAATATATTATATATATAAATTGAAAAAAAAAAAAATTATTTATTTATATCGATAGTGTAGATTCTTGGCTTTCGTTGAGAATTCGTCAGGCCCCATGTATCGTGGCCCATTGCAGCGGGGGCATTTGAAACCAACTGGCCGGGTCGCTGCTCGGTCTGAGCGTTTATGAAAGCGACACAAGGAGTCACCATGTTCTGGCCATGTTTTTAGGGGTCGTTGCTTGAACACATGACCAAAGACGAGGTCATCACCTGAGATGAAGTAGCTGTTGGACGGTGTGAAGGATTTCAAGGACCAATTCTTTTGGTTTCTGCTCCTCTATGCTTCGGTGTCCCCCACCTCTTGGCTCCTCCCCCACGCGAGCAATGTGTAAAGGACGCAGCTCCAATCGAAGCGGTGCCTGCATGAGTCTATTTGGAAGGAATCGCGTCAGCAGTTTGGCTGCAATGGACGAAACGCTATTAGGTTTGAGGCCATCGCTCCAAATCTGATGTCTTACCATGGGATATCATGGGATACTGGAGTGGCTGATGTTTGAACTCTCGAAGCTTCTCGCGTTCTTGGAAGATCTTGCAAGAAAGGCTCATCTCAAAGAAACACCAACCTGCAATCTTGTAGGGTGCAAAAAAGGACATAACCAAACAACTAGATTGGCTTACACGCAGAAGCTGTTGGAAGCACTTCCCATAAAGCTCTGCACGTCACGACAAGACAAGCAATCTTGAGAGGGAAGTTCGCAGGAAAGCGTCATACAGGCAAATCAAATGAAGCCATAAGCCCACAGTGGCGCTCTTCAAAACGCTCGCAGGAAGTTTCAGTGGCATCGAACACTTCAAGAGAGAAAGAAGTCAAGAAGGAAGCAAGGACAAGGAACAAAACACATAGAGAGAGGGCCTTTCGGAAGCTGCTAATGCACTGTGTTGCAATCAACACAATCAATTCTGTTCACCACAGAAATGCACCAAATTGTGAAATTCTGCGCACAAGAAATGTCTCAGACTCCTGAATGAGTTGATCCAAACAATGAAGCTGGCAAACAATGCTCAAGGCCATGTCGCGACCCCAACCACGAGTGGCCAACGCTTGCAACAGCTTTACCCTTAGACCGTCTATTTGCAAACATGAGTCTTGACATGTTTGTGGAACAAACATTTCAAGTCTGTTGGCACCGGCTCCTAAGGGCTGCGGTGTCTTTTGAATCACATCCGGACCCTTTTGTGAACTGTGAACAGTCTTTGTTCTTCCACGTACTTCTCGCCTGAGACAAATACTTCCGCAGCTTCGACCACAGAAAATCCTGGTCGTGACATTCAACTGTTAGAAAAAAACAATCCAAGCAATTGGTGTGATTCGTGTCGGAAAGCACACTAGGTTGCTTGTTGATAAAACCCTGGCAGTAGCTTTTGATGAAAAATAAAAGGACCTCTTCTTTCTTCACGGAGTTCTCTTCTTTCTTCAGCTTTCACTTCTTCCACTTCTCTGCCGGTCCTCACTGCTCTCGTCCAAGAGTGAGAAGTTGAAGTAATGATGACCTGGAAGTGTGACGACACAGCTTCTACTAGTAGGTTGGAGGCCATCGCTATTAGGCTGGAGACCTGAAGTGTGACGACACATGACAAGAATTCTCTTTGCACCACCTGGGCTTGAGCTCAGAATCTCATCCTAAGGTCCTAAGGTGTAATCAGGAATGTGTAGGAGGTCAGATTGAAAAGCGTTTCACTCGGGGCTGTTGACTGGACGTGTGACTAGTATATGATCCTCCGGGCTCCCGCCGGGCTGGGCTCCCGGCCACTGATCCTTCTCTTCTTCCGATTTCTGTCACTGTCCGCCCAGCGGTCCTCCACTTCGAGGAGCTCAGCGGTGTGCAGCACTCCACGCTTTGCCTGCGTCTCCTGAGGTTGGCACGGCTGGAGGGTCCACAAGCGACAGCAGTGGATGAAGGACTTGAAACTTCATCTTGAGCTCAAGGTCTGTATGTGTGGGAAACGGTTCCCTCAAATGGCCTTGCAAGACTTGATGATTGCTTTTACCTTGGCTTTGAGAGCGACCCAAGAACGCAGCACATTAGTGGTGGCAAACTAGTGGTCTCTGGTCGGTCAAAAGGTCTTTTTACATCTTTTTACAAATCACATTGACGGACATAATTTCCGGAATCCGCTATGGTAGCGAAGAGGTACGTGCAACCAAACGTCGTTACTGCCTCGCAGCCTTCAAAAAATCTTTTAGAAACGTCTTCATGCTGCCCTCCAAAAAACCATGTTTGGCGTTTTTTCGTGATTTCACAGGCCTTGTTGCACCGGTCGATTGACCAGTTCTCATGCCGCCAAGATGCATCCCTAAAACTGGACATTGAATCCTTCTGAGCATGTACAGCCAGAACAATTGGGACTCGGGAGAGCTCAGAGGCAATTCCGGTTAGGAATTCCTGGCAGGATGTGATGGCTGTGAGCCCTGTTCATGGTCTTGCCGCAGGTCAAAGCAGCAATGTTTCAATCCAAGTCTCTTGTTCGTCTGCTGTATACTATTCAAATCGATTTAATGCCGTGCTGTGCCAATCTGCTTTGGCGTTTCTACCTGTTCCGACAACCCGAATGCACCGCTCCTCGAAGATTTCGCTGCTCGCTGGTTGTGGCGCGCCATACATCGCATCTCGGTTTACTTCGCCAACACAGAAACAAACGAAAACTAAGTCTAAACATGTCTATATATGGGCGTTTTTTTCCAGGAGCGTTGCAAATTTTTTTCTGTAGATTTTTTTCGTAACACAACTGCATCAATACCTTTCTGGTTTGTTCATAGCTGCGTGGGTGCGTGTGCTATAAGTTTGTTATAAGCTACCATATGTTTCATATTGGTATGTGTGCTATAGGATAGGTATGCTGTAAGCTACGTATGCAGCTTGCATGCGTGGTTTTCTACCACGACAATGGTATGTATGGTATAAGTACATCTGCAGCTTGCATGCGTGGTCTTCTAGACCTGCGCTAGGGAGGTGGTAATACATTTGCAAATACATTTGCAATTTCTACAATTGCAAGTGTATGTGTGCTACAATAAGTATGCTAGCAGTACATCTGCAGTTTGCAGGTATGGTTGTGCTAGGATCTTGCTTGGATAATTTTTGCTAGCATTGCTTTGGTGCTGGGATCTTGAATTGGTGAGTTGCTTTGGTGGTGGGGGGTCTTTCTTGAACAATTTTCGCTGTGTGCTGGAGTCCTCTGCGGAGATCGCGCGCGTGTGTGTGTGTGTGTGTGCCCCCCTCCGTTTCCAGGAGTTTCGTTTTTCACTCTTTCTCATTTGGGTGTTGATCTAAATTCCTTTATCTGGGACCCGTCATTCTTAGCCAGAAAAAACTTTAGCCAAACTTTCGCCTTCCTGTGTATTTTTGTTTCGCCAAAATATTGTTTTTATTTGTGCCATGTATGTTGTATGATGGATATCAAATTTGTTCATGTCAATGGCTTCTTCAGTACTGGCAAATACGCAAAAAACTTCACTGTTTGTCAGCATGTGTCTTCTATTTAACTGTTGACACTCTGTATGTGTTTTTTTTGTTTTCTCCTGGGTGTCAGCAAGAATCAAAAAATGCAAGAATCACTGTAGTAGCCGGTCACTCAGAATTACTCATAATGGGCTGGGGGTCAGATGTGG